GCACTGATGGCACTAATAGAAACTGCTTTCTTGACCAGTATTGGCTACATTTCTTTTTTATTTAATAGTTAAAATTTTTTATATAAATATCTGGCAATATCAATATATTCGGGAAACGATGGCCAAATTAAAGAGAAAACCCTGTTAAATTTAAACAGTTTTGAGTTTTTGGTGCAGAAGGACTGGTAAGTATTGAAAATGTCCTTTTAAGATTTTATCCTTGAAATTTCGCAATATTTGTTTTTGAAAAAATTATATGTTAAGGACTTATACAAACTCGATATCATCCTCGAATTACGTCCTTCTAAAAAAAATATATGTTAAGGACTTATACAAACTCGATATCATCCTCGAATTTCGTCCTTCTAACCTTATGAGCTTAGAAAATTACCTATTCGTCCTTGCGAATTAAAAAATTTTATTTTGTTTTTAATTCTAAAGAAATTTGCTCTTGCCTTTGCCACCCATATTCTAACTACATTGCATTGAATTTTTTAAATAGTTTTTGGAATTAATCATGTCTTTGAAATTATAAACTCCTTTAAGATAAATCCTGTCGTCAGAGAAGAAATAAAAAAGTAGGTTCCAAAACTATTTATTTATTATTTATTTTATGGTAGGAGAGCTTCTCATACAATATTGAAGCAATTTTTGCGATTTAAGTTGTTGAAAAGTAATGAATATCTGAATCCCGGGACTAATCCCGGAATCCCGGGTTTGTGATAAAGACTACCCCGAAAATCCCGGGATCGGTAAAAGCTAAAAAATTAACATCCCTAGTATATATGTTTATATGCGCGTGCGTGTGTGCGTACGCAGTGAATTGTTGAGGTTGCTCGAAGGCAGCACTTGCCTAAGTTATGAATTATCGCTCATTAAAGTAGCGGCACGACGAAGCACTACAATTGTTGGGCGATTATTTTTTTTTTAATGTGTTTTAAAACTTTTGAGATTCTTATGAGTAATGGACACACTATATTATTCGCGCCTTTTGTAGAAAATGTAGGTACATAAATGAATACTTTTTGTAATTTTTATACTTAAAAATTGTTATGAATTTAGTGAGATTTGCGGAGATTTTAATTTACGATGTTATAAATTTGGCTTTGGTTATGTTATGACCTTTTACAGAACGAAATAAAATTTCTAAGTGCGAGCGCAGTTAATTTCGGGGACAATTTTTCAAAATAATTTATATATATATTCTTGAGACGACACTTTTTTACATACACAATTTTTTTTTTTTTAGTTAAAGTTTTTAAGTTGCTTTTTTGTGTGGTTAACAATATTTTAGTACAGCTAATGGAAGTCATTTTCGCATACTTAACACGTTTGTTGTTAGTATTTTTTGATCATTATAAAGCTGTTATGGTAAATTAGCGATATGCATATTTATGAGCAGGAAATAATGTTACTCATACGCCATGTACGACTATCCACGTGTTTGCTGAAACCTTATAGGAAATAACAACAAATGATAACGCAAAAGTGATAAGTCGCTGCATAATACTTGCCACGGCAATTATGTTGAGAATTTCTTCTTCTAAAATGCAGCATTTTTTTTTTAACTTTTTGTTTAATGCATTTGATTTGACGCAGTCAGGGTTCTTGGCGTTGAGTTGCACAACTTTTGTGAATTTTTCATTCATTTAAAGAATACCCCCAGGCTCTATGGTACTTTTTGAATATGTTGTCGAGAATATTCTTCTGAATCAATCTGTATTTTTTCTAAATACCGTAATATTGAAAATACGGTAATATTGATTGGCTCCCATCAACACAGCTAATGAAACTTACCAGCAACAATTTATAAATCCCTCTTAATAATTATTTTAAAAGCTGTTGCCTACAGCTTATCCTTTATCATTAATCAACTTAAGTCGCTCATTTCACCCATTCTCTCCACCACTCGCATCATTTAATTTTGACTTTCCAACCAAGTACATATGTACATACTTACTATGTACATATATATAATCATCTCAAATCCATTAAATATTGAATGGTTGGAAATTGCTTGCGCACATAACGAAACACAATACAATAAATACAATAATAATTTTCATTTAATTGCTTTCATACAATTTTGGCCACAAATCACATTAATATTTATGGCTGTAAACATATTGTGCGCACGTACATACATATCTCCGCCGAGATGCCAATATATTGTATGTAGTATTTTGGTTTGTATGTACATATGTAGGCTTGCATGATTGTCTGCGCAAAATAGCATCAAAAATAAATTTTCAACAAATATCAAAAGTAACCATTTTCAGTTTATTGTGTAACCTCTGTGGCGCACACACTCACAATGTACTCTTGTATGTATGTATGTATACAATATGTATTGTCCTGATGAAGGTTCACACAAATCAACAAGAGCAATTTCTTGTCAGCTAGGAATTTCCTGGGCAGCCAAAATGTACACAAAATCGTTGGTTATTATTGGAGAAGAATAAATAAATTTTTTTTGCAGTGGTAAAGGCAATCAAGTAGAGATATAACTATATGCAGTGGCGTGCAAAACTGTAGCATAGTGTAGCACTATTTAATGATAGTTAGGCTGCGGAAAGATGAGACCGTAGAAAAAGTGGCGAAAAAATGTGAAGCTTGCCAAATAAAAATGCTTGAACTAAGAAAAGGAAGTCTGCTAAGGACAGCGTTGGACAAATTGCACTAAATAGTAATTTTCACTACCACAGGGCTTTAGTGGTAGTGCATTTCAAGCTTCACTACCACTATATATATGTAAATTTCACTACCACTGCTGCCGAATAGTAGCAATAAAATGCTCAGTGCATTAAAAATTTAGTGCAACGTGTCCAACCCTGGCTAAGGAATATTACGGTCCAGGGACCGCGTAACAGTTACAACTTTTATTATAATATAAAACTCAAAAATAATCGTTATTTTGGATTTATAATATAAAAATTAAATTTTTTTTTCAATTTTGCATAAAAATTCCAAATTAAAAATTTATTTTCAAATTTGAGTCTCGGTGACAAAAAAGAAGTTGCAGAACATAGTGAATTTTTCCATGACAGTTTTCATCAATAACTGTTATGTTCGGTGCTTGTTATTTACTCACGGTCCGACATCTTGAGAACTTGGTAATCGGCAACGATGCAGAAACGTTTAAGGTATTAAACTTTACTGCAAGTCAGCAGACAGCGCAGAGACGTATCTTCGTTTCCTCTGAAAATTATTAAAAACCTATTAAAAATACATGTCGATGCCTGAGCGGAAGATCGACCTATCTCAGCAGCCTACGTCAAAATTTGGTTAAAAAACCGTCCTATAACTAGCCAAATAAACCTTTTCATATTCAACAATTTGTGATTAGGCCAAAAAATAGCAAAAACTATTTTTTTGTTTTCGCTAACTGCATAATTACCATTTATATAACAAATTTATGTATGTATGCAGTTTTGTAGCGCATTTTCTTCCATACAAAGTATGCTCGACAAAATTCGCATATGAAAAAAATGCCTGGCACCGTCAAAAAAATGCCAAAAATCAACGATATTTTGGAGCCACTTGAATGGGCTACAAAACTGGATCCCCGAAATTTTTCTACAAAATATTATTAACTTATACACTGCCGTTCAATTGTATGCTTTTAAATCTGTGTTCGTATGGAAAAGTAGCTTATGTCGAAAGGTTGGCTTTAGTATAATGCGGCAATCCCTTTATTTTTTAAACGGCAAGGAATTTTTTGATGAGACTTAATAAGAATATTGCCTTGCTAGTATCGGAACTATTTCTTCCACGTTTATTTGCCAAAAGTTGTTCAACGTCTTAGCGCCAGTGAGTCATTCGCAATCGTATGCTGCGAATGCCGATTTATACTAAAGCCAGCCTTTCGACATAAGCTACTTTTCCATATGAACACAGAAATGCTTTCATTTTTTTCAATATGCAATTGCTCCAATTTGCGATTTGGCTATTTTTTGTTAAATAAGCAGCCTCAAATTCAAATTTGATTAAAATTTTCTAGATTTTCGAAAGCAAACGTTATTTGTATCAATTGAGAAATAATGTCGATTATCGATCCTTAGGCGATAAAACGATTTGCAAATTAAGGCAAAGACTTTAAACGCATTTACATTGCCATACTGCCAAGGAATGGTAGCTATATTTGGTAGGAGTATTGTGGAATCGGATCGTGACATTATAAAAATATTCATTAAATTCATTTCCACATGACGTTTTTTAAAAAGTACCATTTTTTTTTCATTTCGATACCTAATGGAAATTCAGCATAATGTATTATGGGCTATCGCTGAATCCATCGTAGTCCAATTATCGTGAAATCTTCGGAAATGCGATCACTGCATCGCAATTGCTACGAACGTACTTAAGCAAGACAAAATAGGAACGAAACTTAGTTAGATTTTATGTACATATATGTTTTAGGTATGTGCATATGTGTTATCCTTTTTGTAAGTTACTCATGCAATTTGAGCTCATATCTGCTCTTAAGCTTACATTCTTATGTATTGCGAACACATTTCTACCTAAACAAGTTCATACGTATTCGACTGCTTACAACAATTCCTATTACATGCGAGTAATATACGGATATTTAAAGAAATATCACACATCCTCGGACATACATATATACATGTTCGTAAAGCATCGTAAAAGTCTCACATAAAAAATACCTAAAACAGTCATAACAATAACGATTTTAATACAAATACGATATGTATGTATGTATGCAAATGTATAGTACGTACATTTGTATATGCATAGCAGAAACAAGACATTCGTAGGCTCTACATATTCTATACATATGTATGTACATACATAGATGTAGAGTATGTTCCCTGTTGACATTCACTCAAACGTAACGCAGCAACACAACGCAACGCAACGGGTGGGTGAATGATGGTCACATTACAAGTATGTAAATACCATGCCATGTAAATGTTTATCTGCATACATATATGTATGTACATATGTATATATGTACATGGTCGTTTTTGCACACTTACCACACAGTATTTCTCGCTTTTCTTCGAGCATTCCTTCAAATAGAGATGCGCATATTGATCCGAATAGTTGAGGCAGGGCGTAATGGAACCGACGCCCTCATTATACTGGCCGCACATGTGACACTTGAGCCCGTTAACGGTGGCAAGGCCACAAACCAACACCGCCAACATGACGAGCATATTCTGGTAGCTCATCAAATCGCCAACTCGCAACCACTCGCAGCCACGACGACATCGACGACTCATCAGCGACATACTACTGTCACATCCGCTTTGGTTGGCGTAGTCGCTGTCGTTGTTGGTGGCATTGTTATTGGCATTGCCGCGTGCCATTGGTGGGTCGGCGTGTGCCGCAGCGGCGGCGGCCTCATCGTCAATGGCTGCATGGATCAGCATTGTGTTGATGCTTTTGTTGATGTTGGAATCGCTTGTAAATGGTGACATTATTGTTTCTTGTTTAGTCTCTTTATTATAGTTTGTTTTTTTTTGTTTGTGTTGCACGAATATTTTTTATTTTTTTTTGTCGCTTAGCACTGCCTTTTCGCTGTATTATTGCTTACGTTATTAGACGCTTTTATTTTAATCAGATTTACGATTTTTTGTTTTTGCTGATCTAGTGATTTTGCGATGCTATCTTGCAGATTTCACTTTCTGTTTCTTATTGCTTAAATGTTTGACGGTATATTTTTACCGAATACTCGTAAGTTACACTGCTTAAAACGAGCAAAAATTCGACTTACTTTATGTTCAAGTATTTTATTTCTGCTAAACTTATTTCTTTGCTCATGTGCAAATTCTTTCAGCTACATACATATACTATACATACATATGTATGTATGTATGTACATGTGAATGTATTTTTGATAGTTTTTTTAACTAAACACGCTTAACTGCTTGCACGTAACTCGAATTTCACTGCAAATAATCGAATTGCAAAATGCAAATATTTGATTTGGTGTTCAACGTCAAAATACGATTTAATTCTTCATTTAAATGCAATCGCACTCGCTTGGCATCGAAAATTTTGTTGACTTGTTAGAAATTAAAATATAGTACAAGTTTTCATTATTCATATTCTACGCGCTTTACCGGAATAATAATACTAAACAAAAGGATATAGGCAAAAGATGTGGTTTGTAGCCACACCTAGCCACTTAGATACATATAGCCCTTCAGCTATGCACAGCTGATGTAAAGCCCATTCTTTTCTTCGGAGTTAAAGTATGGTGATGAAAGCTGGGAAAAAACACATCCACAAGCAAAATGGAAAAGGCGCTTATCACGAGGGCGTTTACCTCCACACCCAGCAAAGCTCGTAAAGTTCTCTTTGTGCTTTTTTCAACACCACCAACTTCAGTCTAGCTGAAATGGTAATAAGTTTTGGGAGCGACAGGAACAGCGTAAAATAGCAAGACTCTAGTTACATTTCAATGTTCAGCGATGGCAGTAATCTATGTAAATACTAAAGTCAGCTACAACACCCCTTCGGAATAAATACTGCCAAATAAGCTACAGAGATGTCTCCCAAGCTGAGTTAAGATATATTACTTATGATGATGCCCTCCTGTAATAGCATACACTAACACCGTCCACTCTGAAAACCAAACTTCGATTCAATATCTGCGGGGCAACAATAATACCTTTTCGAAGATGGCAATTCAACGAAGAATGCTTCCAGACGATTCGGCTACGAAGAATGTAGTCTGGGCTCCCGGCCACCGAAATATTACTAGCAACAGCATTGCGAATGATCTGGCACGGAAGGGAACTGATCTGTAGTCGTTCAATTCTGCCGTAAATGTCAAGCAAACTATATATGGCTCAAATCTATTCGTCTTCATCGACTCTACCTTAGCTCAGAGATTGGTTTTATGACATTTCCTAAATACGGCAACGTAGTCTGAAGCTTCTCTAAAACGATTACTCAGCGGACTCAAACCCTTGAGATTTGACAGCTTTCCTCGCTGCATAAGTAACAGTAAATAGATCATTTAATGGGGGAAGTGGATGCTAAACACATCAATTCATCCTAATATATCACAATGGGGGCTTCTCGCTGCAGTGTGACTCTTTCCAATACAAAGTATTACCAGTTGAGAAAAATAAGTTTTTCACAATCTCTAAACTTTTATTTTGCAATCTTTTTCATTTTTCGGGAACTGTACAATTTTTTTTTCAACTAGTTTTTGTTAAGGAGTATTTATTTGAAGAAACAGTAAAATCGGTTGGTTCTCTGCACTTTGCACTAAATTAAATATAAACAAATAAAAATTCAAAAATCAGGCTCGACCAAGCTCTTACACATTTTATTAGTTTCCATTTGAAGAGAAAATTAATCATACCACTTGAAAAATGAGGAATCTGGAAAATTTTAAACAGTAAATTCTAGTTTGACACCACTGTGCGCCGCACATTGTTTCGACTATATGGAGGCAAGTGGAAAGAATATTTCTTAGAAAACGGGAATTATGAAGTATGGTATTTGAAAAAAGGGCTTAATGCCACGCCCTTCACCTTTGTAGGCGGAAAGATCAAATTTCATCCGATTTCGATGAAATTTAGTTTGTACTCTCTCTTTTATTAGAAAGATTCGATCACTAAAACGTCTAAAACTTGAAAAAAATATGAGCGCAATCATTAAATGTGGCGGAATTTCGGTTAGTTTTTGAGTATTCCGCCTTCCACTCTCAGAAATACAAAGGCTATACTTAAGAATTACATATATATAAATATTCCCAGTTTTTCCGATTTTTGGGCGGATTTTTCCATTAATTGTTGAAAATTAAATGGTGAAGTATAATTTTGGTATAAAATAATATTATTTTGAAATTTTTGGAAAATGGGCGTGACCCCGCCCACTTATGATAAAATGCTGTATCTCGGTTGCCGCTTCACCAATCCTTACCAAGCCCGGTATGAGTCTTGCCTAGGAAGAAAAATAGAGTTTTCCGATCGAAAAATATCGATCGATCAAGGATTCTATACCGTTTCTACGAAAAGTTGTTTTTTCCCCATAAAAAAACACATGGAAGACTTTGAGCGATTTTAGCGAGCTATAAATATTTTTCGATGTCAAGATAAAAAAAGGGGTGTATTTTTTCGCTATATATATGCGCCTAGAGGGTGAGAGCATAAAACTTCCGACTTTACAAGTTGTAATACGATAAGTTCAAAAATTCATGGACTCACTGATCCGCCCTGGTAGCTTTATCGGTAAGATTCAAATGTAATTTATGCTAAAAATACCTCTCAACTGTTGGAGCGGAGGGAGTTGGTGGATTAGTCTAGTCTTGCATATAACTAATCCAAACATATTTTTTTGTTAAAATCCCAGTGATAAGCCGACAGTAGTTATGTAAATGCATGCTGGTTGATGAAGGCAATGATTTGATTTAATAATTCTGAATTCATTACTTGAATATGCATTCCTATCAGCGCTTTATGGCTTAATAGTCACTCATCCTGTACTACTATTGGTGCGGTGACCATCCGTACTTTATTTCAAAGGACAGTCCTTTTTCTTGGGTAGTAGTTTATTTATTTTTCTAAAGCTCTACTTTCTCCTTTATTTCAAAACTTGTTCTTAAAAGTCATTTTTTGATACAATATCAGACATTAATGTATTTCATATTTTACAGCCTGGTAGATACAAATTTTGAAGAAAGAACAGAGAACAAAAAAGGTGGAAAGATCATTCTTGTCATTTCCCTTCTCTAGGCGAGTGCATTCATCATTCTTATTAATATAGGGAATATAGGTAAAAAATCCGCCCAAAAATCGGAATCGTCAGTAGATTGCAAAATAATAGTTTCTGAAAAAAAAATTCACAAAAAAAAAATTTTATTTTATTTTCATATAACATTCAGGTATACTGTTTTATGGTCCATTAAATAAAGTCCAAGTTTTAATTGACTGAATATATATATTTTTTCCTAACGGGGCTAGGCATTTTCATTAATTTGCATAAAGTGAGACCGAAATTTTTAACAGTAAATTCTAGTATGGCTATAAATTGACAAATTTAATTAGCATAGCTGGCTCCCACAGATGCTGAGTAATTAAATTCCTTGAGGGATTGGGCATATCGTTTTCCTGCAAGCTCGTTGCGAATATCCATTTTGGAGAGAGTGCGGCTTCAGTACTCGCAATAAATCACATTAAGCTTCTTATAAATCCAAACTGAAAATTAATGCAAGCTTCCATCTCTTCTCATCTCACTAGTCGTTCTTCAAGTCCTCTTTCATATGATACCAAATTTGTTTAATTTGACAGGCCGTTTGTTTATTATACCGAAAAGGACTTTTATTTTGGAATAATATTCGCAACAACCCTGGTTGAGAGTCCCGTGATAACTGGTATCTACATACATATGTACATACGAATTTCGATAGCGCCAAAAGTTCCTCATACGCCTAGTTGGCCAAGTTAAAGTTAATTAAATGACTAATTAAACAAAATAGTATTTGTATTGCTTAAAAGCCAGCGACAAGTGTTGAGGCTGTTTAACGCTTCACGCATCTTTAATTCGCGTTGAATAAGTTGGGCTGCAAACACTTTCCACGCCTGGCAGAAAAGCCACTTAGCGAAAAATTCAGTAAGCAAGGAGAGCGCTTGCCGTTTAAATGTAGCCATCACATCAGCGCACAACGATCTTCAAAAGTGACACAACTCAAAATTTGACATTTTTAAAACTATGTACACAGGCTTTATACTTACAATGCGTAGAAATTTGTTATAATGTGAAAAAACTTAAGCTTGCCCATTGATTACAATGAGAATTGCGCACACAACGTGAATTTGGTGTTCATTGAGATCTGATAGAAAGAATGGTGGCACTAAAGAGTCAGTCACTTGTAGTGGCGCGTTATAATACAAAGCAGCGTACAAATCTAGTAAGCACAGGGAGAGGGTATGTCAGCAAAACCATCTGCAATACTTCTATTTGGTCTTCAGAACTGAGTATGTTGTTGTTGTTTGTTTGCAGTGCAGTCAACCTGTTTTCAATGTTGGCGATGCCGCCGCAACTGCATCTGCTGCACTTGGAAATGATTAAACAGCGACGGTATTAGCATTCGCGAGCGAGTGTAGCAGCAGAGCAGCAATGGCTCTGATTGCAGAGGGAGGCAAGGTTTTGCGATGCAATTTATTTTGTCAATGTCAATGTCATTTATGCAACACGCTAAGCACTGCTTGAAAAACAATAACATTCGTCATACACAGAAAGCTTGTAACATTTGACATGAAAAGCAGTTAAAGCAATAGCAAGCAAAAAAAAAAAAATATGCACAAAATGTTTTTCTTCTTTTATTCTCATTTTTTTGTAATGATTCATTTGAAATGAAAGTCAGTTACTAATTAGATGAAATTGTGTCACGCCAGCCGCTATCAAAGCTGCTTTTTTTTTTCGTGCTGAAGGCAACCTCAAGCATCGAGACACACACATTGTACCAGAGCGCTTATTATTTTCCCCTTTCTTGTTTTAAAATGTTACTATTCCCCTTTTTTTGTGATTTCTGTTTATTTTTCATTGGTACATTACATAAAGAACTACAATGCACAATCGTTCATATAAAGTTGGTTAATGCGCATCAATAGCCAAGCAAAAAAAAAAATTTTGTTTTAATTAAATGAATTTAAAAAAAAATTTCATTAAATAATTTTACACAAAAACACGCGCGCACTTCTTTTTGTTTTTTTTTGTTTTTTCAAATCTCTAACGAAGTTTTCATTTAATTTTTCACCTCGCTTTTCTTCTGTCCCTCTTTCCTCTCCACCTCCACTTTCTTTTACCTCACTTTATTTCATACACTTTTTGTTGTTTTCCTCTACTACATAAACGTCGTCGATAGTCGCTTATCCGCTACGTAGAACCGCTCGCGTCGAGATCGTGAACGTTAGTGATTTGTGTTGGGCAGCTGCATGGACCACGAGGTATCCAATCAAAACACAAAGCGAAGAAAGCACGTGCAATGGTGGATCCAGTGAAAAGACTTTGTACATGATGCCAACGGCCAACGACAATGGTTGCAGTTGGAAAAGCACTGTAGTGCTAGTATAACAGTTTCCTTTGTTGCTACAGTATGTGCATTTCTTGAGCGTGTGTGTGTGGAATTTGATTGCCATATGTTTATGTAGTTAGTATAGAAATAGGCGCAAAGGCTTGCTTTTATATGCGGAATATTAAAATATCGTCGGAATGTAAGGAATGTTTTACTTTTTCTAAATAGTGGCAAAGTTTTACTGTTAAGAAAAATGCATGTGGAAAAGTAAATTCGGAATTTTATGCCTCACCCAGTAGGTCGGTTCTATTCTGAAAAAATATACCCCTACTTTTTTATTTTAAAATCAAAAAATATTTAGAGGTCGCTCAAAGCGCTGTTGGTTTTCCATGTATTTTATATGGGAAAAAAACAACTTTTCATAGAAATGCCATTTCTATTCTTGAAAATCAATATTTTTCGATCGGAAAACTCTGTTTATTTTTAGGAAATTCTCAATAATAATACCCAATTATTTATGTAACCATTTTTTCATAGCAACTATCTTTTGTCGTAGGTCCGCCAAAACCCCCAGAAAAGTAAATCTTTATTATTAAAAAATGGTTAAATAAACGATTGGGTATGGATATTGTAAGTCTTCTGAGGAGAAGCAGAGTATTCCGATCGAAAAATATTGTTTATATTTCGGATTCTGGTCATCGTAGAGACTTAATCTTAACATTGTTTAAGAATGTTTTAATATTTCTATATATAAGATGGACTTGATTGTCTAAAGCTATCTTAGCCATAAGCAGTTACAATTTTTGAAATCGATTTATGTGCAAAGTGAAGGCCAGTTAGTTAGGCATTTAAAGTCTTACCATCGTAATACCTGATTAATTCTCCATAAAAACTATTTTTTTTTTTCTAAAATTTTTGTCCTACAAATTCCACGCCCATTTCTAGGAGTTCGTTGCTTAAAAAAATATTTAAGAGTACCGTTAATTGCTTCATGATTCAATGATCGGATCTAAACTAAATTAGTATCGGACCACCTCGGAGGTGCCACCTTTCATCTAAAAAAAAGAATTCTAGAAATCTGTTGCCGTGGTCCAAAGAATTGACAACCCTATCCTTTTTTTTTGTGGTCGGTTAATAATATATTCAACTAAATCAAACTTAAGAGGGTAAAGAAAGATTACTGTTGAAAATATTTTTGTCGCGGGTTAAAAAATCTAAAAATATTGAAATTAAATGAAATATTACAACATTAGTAGTTGTAAAANTTGACAACCTTATCCTTTTTTTGTGGTCGGTTAATAATTGATAAGTTAAATTAAATATTACAATATGGGTATCTAACTAAAGAGGTTTGAGAAAGCACACAATTGACTCAACATACAATTGACATCAACTAAATCAAACTTAAGAGGGTAAAGAAAGATTACTGTTGAAAATATTTTTGTCGCGGGTTAAAAAATCTAAAAACTAAAAATATTGAAATTAAATGAAATATTACAACATTAGTAGTTGTAAAAGTAGTAAAGTTACCACCTATGTTACCTAGTTACCACGTGTGTATCTTAAGTGAAATGCTGTGAGGGTCTTCATACAGCAAGATTTTTCAGAAGTCTTTTGCAGCTGAAAGCAAAGCATTTTTTGATTTTTAATCTTCATTTTGAGTTTTCAGCTTCGTGAATCTGCTGAAAATTGAACAAAAATTTAGCCGGCTTTAATTGACGTTAAGTTTCGTTGAGTGTGAACATCAGCAACTTCGCCACGCTTCGCCTTCAGCGCCGCTCGACTTTCAGTTAGTATGCACCCTTATACATTAGTATGGGTGTCACCATTGTCCTCTAAAAAGGTATTGAGTGTTGCCCTTTTTTATTTTTTTTTGTAAGACATCTACTTCATGCAGAGCAGGGAAATAAATTCACAGAGTTTCCGTAAAATATATCTGTGCCCAAAAATAGGTTCTTTTTTTGTTTTTGTTCCACCCCTGACGGAAGAAATAACTCACATTTTTTCCATATAAAAGTAAGTTTCATTTTTTTCGTATTTAGTAATAACTCATAACGGTAGCTTGGAGTGAAAAGTTGCTAAGTCCACTTTTCATGAAAGCTCACTTTTTGATATAAATAGAAAGCACATGTCTCACCCGTGACGGTGGAATGCCCCATATTTATTATTATACGTGAAATATTAAAAAATGCAGCAATTGATTTTATAGGCTGATCATCAGCCTGTAGTGTGAAAATATGCAGTCTAGAATTTATTGTTCTTTTTGATAATAATCTTTGTGTCATTAAATTACTTTATGGCTACTGGGTTATGATTAAAAAAATAATAATATAGCAGCTCACAAAAAAATCAATAAATTTCTTTATCGGCTTCTGTATATTTAAAGGTCCGCATCAACATTTTCTTGAATCCAATCGATGTAGTGCGATACTTTGGTATACACTCCTGGATACGGGTACACTGTGCAGGGTTTGATACTCCACGAAACAATACCCAATTGAATATGTCCCTGATATAGCAACGGACCACCGGAATCGCCACTACATTGGCCCTTACCACCTTCGTCAACGCCGCCACAAATGTGGTCGCTGGTGGTGCGACCATTGTGCCGTTCAGTGCACTCAGCATCCGAGTAGATTTTCAAATCGACTTCTTGAACAACACTTTGTAGATAACCACCGGTCTAAAAGATAGACAAAATAACTTTCATCAATGGGCGCTTCAATACAAAACAAAACCAAAAAAACACCCATTTACTCACCGCGTTGAGGCCCCAACCAACCAGTATGCCGGGTGCTCCTTCTGCCACTTGCGGTATCTCAAAGCCCTGTTCAGGCAAGGTGACCGCCGCAATTGTTTTGCCATTGAACACCAACTGACCAAACAATTCCAAGAGCGCAATGTCATTGGCATAAGCAGCCGCAGGTCGATAATCCTCGTGAACTATAATGCGTTTCACCTTCGCCACATTTGTACTGGTTGCGCTGATTACCGACGAGGCAAACTGAATGCTTATCTGGCTGGCATTTCTGCTATTGACACAATGAGCAGCAGTGAGTATCCAGTGCGGTGCTATAATGCTTGAACCACAGGAGTGTGAGCCGGTCGAGCCACGCAAGGACACCTTTTTGTTTGGACAATAGACAATGGAAATGGGTCATTAGTTTTTTTTTTTTTCTTTGAAATACAATGCATTTTTTGCACTCAACGAACCAGAAATGGATAATTCTCAATGCTGGTCGAGGTGCCGTTTACGACGCGTCCTTGTGGGTAACACGATACTATGCCCAATAGGGCTGTGAAAATTATGACGACTGAAGACCACATAGCTGAAGAAAACTTGTAGCGCTTTGAACTCGAGCTCTGGCAAAGCACTGTCTATGTACTTAATAAAATACAATCAATTTATTGGATTGGTTCTTAATCTAATCACGTATTAACCAAATAGGAATAAAGTTAAGTGGCATTATCGTCGTTTAAGATGGTTCTGTAGATAAGTGTCGGTTTAGGTTTTTGTGGGTGCCTGATAAGGAAAGTTATTTAGAGCTATCGAACTAAGTACACACATTTGAAGGTTTATTTTGTGCTACTGGCGATAAAACGTAATTTCTGATTAATGTCATGTCAGGCTGCAGATATTCGGTTAATCGAGTAATCGAGATTAAAGAACAACTTTAACGAAAAAAATACATTTTTTTTTTTTTTGTCGGAGCCAGACACAAAGCGACACGTGTAGATAAGAGCACTTAGGCTACATGCCGTCCATTGTACTGTTTTCATTCGCCTTTTAATCTGTTTAAATCTGCACGGTTTACGAATAAATCTAAGCAGAGTGTTGGGTGACAAAGAGCTTAGGTGTTCGCCTGTCAACACATCGCGGCCAAATGTCTCATACCGAATTCCCGCAATGGCGGGACAGAAGCACAAAAAGTGTTCCAGGCAGGATGGGAAAATGAAGCTGTCATGTTCGCCTATCCAAGTCAGGTGTTTGTGCCACGTGAAGTGACCAGTCAGCAGTGCAACAAGTTGTCTGCAGTCTTGTCTGCTCAGTGAGAGCGAAAAACTAGATAGGCCCAAAATTTTCTATGGTTTTCTCGTCTGGAGGAATGATCTGTAGTTGAACGGTCCGAACTTGAAGAAAAGTTCACTGCAGTGGTCTTTTCAAGACTCTTTCTATCAACCTGAATTTATTCTTTCAGACCGCCGAGAAGAATGTAATCGAAGTACCTTTGCCTTTATGGGGATGTCTAAAGTCTCACGACGTTAATTCATATCACAGCGGCAAGCACTTTTCATCACCACAATGGGAAATGAGGCGTTTGGATATAAAGCCATATTTACTCTAGCTGTAAGCAGTGATGGCACACATGGACTTTTTCTACCAAAACTAGTAGGTTTTTTTTCCATTTGGTAGGTTGGTAGGTCTCTATCACATTTTGTTCTCTCAATTTCACCTACTTCGCAGGTTTTTTTGGGTACGAGAACGCAAAACCAGTAAAAGTTTTCTGAAACTTTTGATAGTTTTGCGTAGGAGTACACTGCTAATAACTTTGTACAGAAGAAAATGCGTGACGTCGTAAAAAAAAATATTCAAAAATCAACGGTATTTTGTAGACACTTCAAAACCAGGAATTTTTTGTCGCGCAACTTTCTTGAATTTTGCTAATTTTGGTACAAAGTTAGGACTTCGGATTTACATGGCTTTGGTAAAAAATATAATTAGGGATAGCTTTCCTTTTTCAAAACATGCTGTACTGAAAAAATGCTTTTTAGACTTGGCTATATGACGTTAATCCCCATGACCTGTATCTTTATTTGCAAATCTAAACATTTACTCTTTTTTTTAAACATAAATTCTTTTCAAATGCATGAGTCACAGTTCTCCTTAATCCAATCAACATAATGCGACACTTTGGTGTAAACACCCGGATATGGCGGTGTACCGCACGGTTTTATACTCCATGAAACAATGCCCAATTGGACGTGTCCTTCAGAGAGCAGTGGACCGCCAGAATCGCCATTACATTGACCCTTCCAACCTACGTCTACACCACCGCAAATGTTGTCAACAGTGGTGGCGTTCTGATGACGCGCAAGACACTCCTCGTCTGAATAGATTTTCAGATCTACCTCTTGCAAAGTTGACTGCACAGGACCATTGGTCTGAAAACGACAAGCGAATGGTTATAAGCCAAGCAATTGATTAGCAACGCGAAAAAGAGCTCACATAATTTCGGCCCCAACCAGCCAACACACCGGGCACACCCTCCGGCACCTGTGGTATCTCATAGCCCTGTTCGGGCAACGTTACCGGCGCAATAGTTTTGTAGTTGTACACCAATTGACCATTCAACTCCAACAGGGCAATATCATTTAAAATGTACCAGGATGAATAGTTTTCGTGTACCACGATCCGCTTCACCTTCGCCACATTCGTGCTTCTGGCATCAAGCACTGTCGAAGCGAATTGTATGCTGATCCGACTAGCTGTTGCGCCGGAAACGCAATGCGCAGCAGTGAGTATCCAACGTGGTGCGATAATGCTGGCACCGCAGGAGTGCGAGCCGGTTGAACCGCGCAGGGATACCTTGAAGAAAGAAAGCAAACATCGAATTTAAATTGTATTGCTCCACACGGCCTTCGATCAACGCACGATATATGGAAATTGTTCCACCGTAGTAGCAGTGCCATTGACAACACGTCCTTGAGGGTAGCAGTGAGCCACGCTAGCCAAACCGAGCAATAATAGCGCGTACTTAGTCCACATTTCGGCGGTCGGATTAGTAAGACTGAACTATATCAAAGACGCAACGTCTACTTATATACTCAGCCACTTGGGTCAGTAATACGGAATTAGACTATTGTAAATATTAAAGGATTTCAATACTGACGTACGTTAAATTTGTATGTCCATTGATAAATAAGATAACACACAAACGCCGTGGGTTTTGCCAAAAGAACTACATATTTGTAAATGCCAAATCGCGTGAAATCATAGATAAGATATCTGATGGAAATAAATTACTATATCTCGTAAGTGGCAATCAGTGCAATAATTGAGCTCTGAAGAAGGTATGTACATATGTACGTATACATATAAGTATGTATGTATGTATGTATGTTTTTATATGAGTACCTGAACAAAATAGGTTTACAGCTCACCTTACGGTTATTATTTACTATTATATAAGTATGTAATTGGTCAAGAAATCCATATATGTATATGTACATATATATGTACATGTCATCGATGCCTTTGGAAAACTGCACATCGATCAATTTTATACACAGCCTATCTTACGGTACACAGACTTTACAGGAGAGCGAAAAAACTGTTTCTCTATTAAAGCATTGACTTGATAGGCGGTATTTTACAAATCTGTTGTCTTAACAACGCTTTTACGATTTTTATGCAGAAATCTCAATGCCTGGAGTTCAGGGTTATCAAATTTTGCAACTGGTCGATGGTCGGTTTTGCAAAGGCATCGACGATATGAAGGTTTATGTATGGTATGTAAGCATAATCATAAGATTCGCATTTTTAGTAAAGAAACTTAATTTGGAATCATTTGAAATGTGCTAAGGGCATAATTTGCCAATCTCGTTATTCATGGCCGCCCTTGTGGCACAGAACTTGAATGGAAGGAACGCCTTTTAGAGTCAGAAAAATGTCTCAGAAGATACACTAGGGGTATTCCCTTAAACTCATAAATTTTGTAAGTTAACGAGCCGGGTAAAAAACCTGTCAAAATTTGTCAGTTTAGGCTAGAGATGGGCACGGGCCTAAATTTTCAAGCCCGGCCCGACACGAGTGCAAAATCAACTTTCAAAAACACGCACGAGCCCGCACGTTAGGAATTTTAGTGGGGCCCGGCACGTCGCGACCCGTCCCAGCCCGGAAATAAAGAGCCAACTTCTAATATATGTATACATATGTATGTACATATTTTTAATTTTGCGAATCAATTTTTTACATTTTTACAAATTTCACACAGATATTTTTTAGAGCATAATGAACCATATTTTTGCTTTTACCAATCAAAATTGTTAAAAAGCGGATTTTCGGCCCACGCTATTACCCAACAAGGACTGAAAAAAGTGCTTCCCTGCATACTTCCTAGAAAGGTGTTTTCTATTTACAATTTACGCGAATGTACTTAAGTAAATGTTTATATTACTAAGCATTACAAATAGCATTTAATGTCTAAATACAACTGTTTGATATGAACCTTAAATAAATTCCTTAAAGAAGTACGATTTTTATGAATTATGAAAAAAACTTTAAAATAACTTCTTTAGAAGGCGTACTACAAAAGCCCTTCTGAAAGCTCTTTTTTGAGTAGCGAATGCAGAAGCCCTTCAATTTGTCCCACTCCATACAAAAAATGAAGGAGAAAGGAAAGAAAGGCCTTTTTGATGAGATTTTAGCTCCTGAAATTACCTTCCGAGTAGTACTTAAGTATGACCCCTCAGTCGTGTACCTGATCAGAAACTTTAACTTTTTTTGCATTTGCCCGAAAAAAAGATATTTTAACCAAATAAACTAAACAGAAAGAAAGTAAGCTCTCCAGATATTTAGCATGTTTGGAAAAACGTTTCGTTATCAATTTGACAGAAAGCTTCACCATTTTTTTCATAGCAAAATCTGCTATAAATTAGAGGAGTGTCTGCATTGACCTTCATTAAAAAACCAGGACGATTTAATTGTGGACCAGGACACCAGGACAATTTGTCTAAATCAGGACAAATCCTGGAAAGCCCGGAACTTTTGGCAGCCCTAATGTAACATCTTCTGGCACCCTGAAATTGTGCATATGGAAACTGTGCATACGAAATAATGCATATGAAAAAAACCGAAATAATGCATACGAAAAAAACCGAAATAATGCATATATGCACAGTTTCGGTTGAAAACCGAAATAANACCCTCTACTCCCTTGTGGCCAGGTACACACGCTAACTTGATGTTATTGCGTCTACCTAGGGAGTTAAGCTTCTCAATGCACTCCAGGACCAGCGACGATTTCACCTCATAGTATATGAGGGCCTTGGGTGCTGCCTGGCTATCGCTTAGGATTAAGATTCTCTCGTTTCTATACCCTCTACCCATGATTGTATCCGCACATAGGTAGATAGCGTAAACTTCTGCTTGAAAGATGCTCGGATATTTCTCCATAGGAACAGAAATCCTTGCCCTGGTTCCAACAATTCCAGTACCTATTCCCTCTGGGGTCCTCGAGCCATCCGTGTACCAGTGCAGAGTGCAACCCTGAAGTAATGTCTCGAAAGCGGAGACACTCCAGGTCGCTTTACTGCAAAGCTATATTTTGAATTTCTTCTCAAAGACTGAATAACTCAGTGAGAGGGGAGACCAGTATGTTTGCATGTATGTATATAAAAAAATATTTATTGGACCAAAAAGTAGTGGGTAGGCACTGTGGCCAATGGTAATCAACTATTACCACCTCCACATGGTTGTAAGCCATGCAGAGTCCGCAGAATGCTCCGGAAGCAATGTCCGGAGGATGCATCCGACTAGGCAGAGCATACTTTGAACTGCCATCAAATTAAAACTTAAGAAAGTTTTATTACATGGCAGTTGAGAAGTGCATGTACATAAATTTCATTAATTTAATCAAGGAAATTTTTGCACATGCAGCAGTACATAGCATGCATTTAGGCGCCTGGTGTTAGCAGTCGCGTCTAAACAAAGACTATGGTCTTTCCTATGTCATCTCTAGGTAATAGGACTAGTGGCAGCGAGGACCTTAGCTAGCTCCATACTCATAGAGGAAATGACTTTACCTTTACCAAACCCCTCGCTCGCAGTGTTAAGCAGAGTTCTTTTGGCTGCCTGCTCTATGGTTATATGAAGAGCCTCGAGTTCAAGGAATACTTCCGGCGCCGTCGTCGGACATGTGCGCATCGCTCCTGTTATACAAACACATGCCAGTCGTTGTAGCTAGGTGAGCGATTGTCTCACCGTGGCTAGAGTAGTTCTTGAAACCCAAGCTACCGCCCCATAGGTGATCATTGGCTGTACTATCATGATGCAAAGCCATCTTAGGATTCTGGGTGTACAACCCCAGGATTTTCCGCTTCGGTTCCGCGGTTGACCAAATGTATATACCTAGTTTTGAAAGTATTTTATGTTTACGTTTTTAGTTCACTAAAAAAGGTCAAACATTAAGCTTTGTATGAATGAGACTATATTTATTTGAAATTTAATGTATTTAAATATTACTTTAATAAAAGCATAAATATATTTGTATAGCCTAGTTTGTGTACATAAACAATAAAAAGTACAATTAAAAATGTAGCCAAAGTTAAAAACTTGTATGCGTATGAAAACCATTGTGGTTGTTGTTGACTTGAATGGAATGAGTTGTTGAAACAGCTTAGCTAATAAATAAACAAAAAAACAATAAGCAAATAAAAACTGATTAAAAACAAGCATAAAAAATATAATATAATAGTTATTCATTTTATATTACAAAATTAAACATCACAAATTATTTAGAAATCATTAGCGGAACATTGACAAGTAAAACTCAGCATTTAGTAAATAAATATTGATACGTGTTACACGGAAACTCTACATAAAAGAGATCAACAATTACAAAAGTATACTTTTCATTATACATAGGTATGTATGTGAGTATATGTACACGCATATGTATTTGCATTTGCTCTACTACATCACAGTATAAGATGCATTTTGAATTGTCTATATAAATTATACTCATATTTTCAAGTAGGTATGAATATATGTATGTATATAAGTTATTAGTATAATATATACTTTTCATGTACTTGCTCATCATTGCTTGGCATGGTTAAAAAAAACGTTATTGAAGTGTCTACTTGTATTTCCCTTTACTAGTGCAAATAGCACATGTCTACTTTTCTATTTTCACATTCATATACATATCTACTTATATGTAAACACATTTTAAGTTTATATAAAGCTACCAAAAAAGCGAGAACACTAATTAAATTTGATTTAATCAATATCAATTCGCATGTTTTAACTTGCAGCGGCTAGTATAACACGTCTTATTCCAAAAAAAATCGACATGGAATTTTCTATGTGTATACTACTGTATTGAACAATGGCGCACCGATGGTAATTTTTGTTCATCTACCATTTCTTTGGCAGATAAAATGCTTTTAATGCTTTCAGCTTCTTTCATCCAAATCTCCAACTGCAAATGTACCACATAAGGCATGTTTTTATTTAATTTTCTGTCAAAGACAAACCTGTTGTAAAAGTAAGTTTCTACGCTCGCCCTTTGGTTCGTTGTTTGTAAAGGGCACCAACATGCCCAAGGCTGAAGTGTAGGCATCCAGTGCTGCTCTAAATTTTCTTTCGTATAAGTAAAGCTCACCTTGGCGTCCAATTTCTAGAGCACTTTTCAATTGCGGACTCGAGTGTGATAGAGCAACTAATTCAAATAACAAAAAAAAACAGCAATAAGTTGCATACATACTAAGTGTTTTACTTGTAACAAGCAACTTACATAGCTGCTTGTAACGCACATCCGGCTCTAACACTTCGGCTATGTTAGCTTGCGGCTGTTGTGTGGAATGTGGTGTTGAGGTGCTTGGCTTTTGCTNTTTGTAACAAGCAACTTACATAGCTGCTTGTAACGCACATCCGGCTCTAACACTTCGGCTATGTCAGCTTGCGGCTGTTGTGTGGAATGTGGTGTTGAGGTGCTTGGCTTTTGCTCGCCGGTTTTTTGCTGGTCTTTTGCCGCTGCGGCCTTATATTCAGCATCGATTAGAACATTTTTGATTTCTTCGGCGCGTTTGAGGTAGGTAAGTGCACGATTGCGTAACGTCAGTCGCTTGCTAGCATCTGCTTCCTCAGTAATTAGTGGCACAAAATATTGTAGCGCACTACAGTATAGATAATAAGCCTCTTTGTAATTTTGCTTTTCGTCATATTCGACGGCTTTGGTGACAAGTTCTGCTGCTTTGTGTAAGGTCTAAGGAAAAAAATATTTTTTTTGTAAACTAACACCAAAAAATTAAAGCACACCTGTTCTGTTGGTAGCGTTTTAAGGTCTATAAATGGATGTTTGAAAAAAGAATCAAATGAAATACGCTTGGCCGGATCGTGTTCCAGTAAACGGCAGAGTAGATCTTGACACTCATTGCTAATACTTGCATTCGCTGGTATCGTAATTTTCTCCGCGCTACGTATCCGCTGTAACAGTTCTTCGATACTTTTTGATGTGTACGGTGCTTTGCCGAATAAGCATTCATATAAGATTATACCGATGCTCCACAAATCGGCTTTCGCATCGTATTGATGTTTGCGAACAATTTCCGGTGCCATATAGAGAGGAGACCCTTTTAGCTGTTGATTTATCTCGCCTAACTTCAAATGTTGCGCAAAACTGTAAAGGGAGTGTTGGCGCAATCATGTAATAGACAAATCGTATATATTAGCGCTTACCCGAAATCCGCCACCTTCAATACTACATTGGAGTTACGTGTCAACAACAAATTTTGAGGTTTCAAGTCAAAGTGGCAAACATCATTGGCACGCATATACTGCACAGCAGCCGCCAATTGACGTAGGAAATACCGACAAGTGGACTCCGGTAACGCTTTTTTCGAACGAATGAATGCTGATAGATTGCCAGCATTGCAGAACTCAAGAACAATGTAAATATTTCTGCAGAGGTAAAATAGCAGTCATACATGAGATAACATATAACATCAATTAGAAAGTATGTAGGTCACTCACTTATCGTCCCAAAAGAAGTCCTGTAGTGTCACAATATACTTATGGTTGAGAGAGCGCAGAAGTCGGATTTCGGTGATAAGATTTTCACGGGAACTGTTCGAAAGAGTCGACATTTCTACAATCTTGATAGCATGGTAGCTGCGGTCCTTCTTGTGGCGAGCCTTGTATACAGTTGAATAGCTGCCTACACCAAGCTTGTCCAGCAGATCGTAGTCAGTGATGCGGGGCAGGGACATGTTGGATCTATAAGATTATCGCAAACTTCACCTAGATTCACTTATTCCATTTATTTTGGCCAATTTTTTAAAAAAAATATGTGCGAAGGAATGAAAACGAAAAAATAGAACCGAGGAAATTGAAATGTTTTCTATGCGATCAGCTGTGCGAGAGTGCAGCCACTAGGTTTGTTCGTCGAAAATCCAGCAAGAATTATCCAACACTCAAAATATCAGAGAGTAAGAAAAAATTCTCTCAAATTCTCTCTCATGTTGAGAAACTTGCAAATTTCTGCACGAACGCAAATTTGCAGGAATTTGCAAGTTTCGCTGCCAGCTGGCGTCCACGGTTGCATTTCAAACATAAAAAATTTTTATAGAATTTTTAAAAATCTTTCGGATGGCCAAAAACAGGATATACATGTATATTTCTTGTTGTCCTGACTTTCTTTAACATACATTTCAATTTCTTCATCGTACTAGCTGTCGGGTTTCTTAAATCGACTCTGGTTGCAATTGCATTCCGATTGCGAATACCATTTTTTTCAGCCGAATTAAGTTCAAATCATTGGAATTAACTAAATTAATTATATCAACAATTATTTACTTCCTTTTTTCATAAAAAAATCGCTCGTGTTTATAAATTTTTAAATTTAACGAACTAATTTATTCAAATTATTGTAGACAAAAATGCAACCATGCGCCACAACCACATGTTTTTCGTGTTTGCAAATTCTTGCTGGCAAAATTTTTTCCAGCAAGAATTTGCAACTTCTCTCCAAGAGAACTGTCACTTTGCTCTCACAATTTTTGAGTGTTGGATAATTTTTTGGCCTTCACGAACGCGATTTGGGCAAAAATCGTGATAATTCGTACAAATTTTTTGCTCGACGAACAAACCTACTATTCTGAAGACCCATTAACCAAAAATACAAGATCACGCGGGTAGGAGAGTAGCCCGTTAGAATCGCATTTAGGAAAAAGGTTTAACGAATTTTCTGCAATTTTCTTCATTTTCGGCTGTGACAACGTATGTACAGATAAGGTAAAGAATAATTTAACACAACGACATAATTTATAGAAGAATTTGCATAATAAAAATGATTATTCATGCGTTCAACAATTTCGCAGTTTTCTTCGTTCTCTTCGTTGTTTATTTCCTCCAACAAAGATGGCGTCGAGATTTCAGCAGCTAGAAAATAACTTTTTTCTTTCTTTCCTTCCCGCCTGATCTTGTGTCTTCCGTTCATGCTGAAAACCGGACGAAGTCAAAAGTTTTGAATATAAATGGTCGTTGAGATAACCCTACAAGAAATCTTACTGGCAAATGACCGGTTAAATGACGGTCAGTGCTGATGCAATTTCCTCATCAGAAATTCGGGGGTAATATGAAAAACCTGACCAGTTCTTTTGTGTACATGTGACTATGCGTCCCTTTCTCACATGGGTGTTTTACCAAAAGGTCTCTTTTCTACTTATTGTATTATTAGGGGTATTTTTACAAATACTTTTCTCTGTATTGTTGTATATTTTAGTGTGTTAGTGAAGAGGTCAGAAAAAAGTCCTTTTCTTGTAGGGAAGACAGATAAAAGTTGAAAGATAATTTTTAATATAACGAAGAACGTACAATTAAGTTTACGTTCTTTGGTCCTATGAACGCGCCCGTTCTGATAGGAAAATTGAACAGCACTAATCCCAATACATTAAAAAAATCGATTACGATAACAACTTTCATTTGGCACTTGTCAAAACGAGATTATTCACAATTCACACTTCGAATAGCGCATTTTTCATCAACGGCATTGTTTTGATTGGATTATTTATTTTATTTGCAATAAATTGTGTTATTATTACAAAAATATTGTGTGAGCAGTGTGCAAGCTCAAATATTATAGGAATACAAGATGTACGAATAAATTACTAGGAAACAAGTAGTAAACAGTGTATATTCTGCTTGACATTTCCACACAAACTCGGGGGTGACGCCCAAAGTTAATCAGCAAACAACTAGTAACTATTTTACAACAAATAAATTAATAAAACACTTTTTATTCGTTTGCAGCCATACATTTTCCGCATAATTCGTCAATTTTAAAAAAAATTTTTAAGAAAAGTGCAACTACATTGTTACGGCTTCAATATGNAACTTTTTATTCGTTTGCAGCCATACATTTTCCGCATAATTCGTCAATTTTAAAAAAAAATTTTTAAGAAAAGTGCAACTACATTGTTACGGCTTCAATATGAACTATGGCCGCAAAACACCATCCACGTATCGCTCAAACCACTCGGTGTACTCCCATACAACGGGCAGGTTAGTAGGAATCTGAAAACTATTACAGAGGTCAACAAATATACATACATATATAACTTTCATAATTATGCTTTAAGGTCCTCAACAAATTTGCATTCCATTAAATCCCGTTCAATGCGCTCCGTGCGTGTTCCTTGGTACCAGCGCCCTATACTAAAGAACAATCAATACATCGACATACAAAAGAATTCAATGATGATTGGCATATTCTCCATTGTGGGTTTATCAAACAATTTTAAATTTTTTAATAAATTACATGTATTTCGATTTAGTTTCTAGCTCTATTCACCATTGGTACTTCTATTTTCGATATTTATTGCTTAGCCATGGCTGCGCCTGGCTCCACGCACTATGGATACTATATCATCTCATACGAGTTTGTTTATGTGGGCAATAAGCACGGTTTGTAAAATGTTAAACCAAATTCATATACATACATATTTAGCTTTAATTGTTTTCCTATTTTAGTGCGAAATATGCTAATTGTATTTGCGTTATTCTCGCTAATACTGGGCGTTGTCATACTATTTACAAGTATTTTGCTCGTAATTGCGCTAAGGAAGGTAATTAAAAATATTAGGCATGGTATTATTTTTTACAAGTTATGATCAAAATGCATTCAAGCACATCTTGGCTTTATATATTGATTTCTCTCTTATCATCACCATTCACTCAATCTACTTAATCATACGATTTCTTTTGATTTCACTTCATTTACTAACATTCACCTTACTCTACAAGCTACTTAAAAAAGGGAAAAAGCGAAAGCGTTTCGTTTTCATACCGGTACGACACACTAATTTTGAATAATGTTTTTCAAACACTGAGTTTTATTTTCATGCGTTATTTAATAACTTTTATATTTTTGCGATGGTTTTCGATATATATTATTTACTAAGAACTTTGTTTCCCGCAGGAATATGAGCGCAAGATACTTCCATGGCTAAATACTTTTGCCGTATTCACAATTTGGCGTTCGTTGGCCTTGATTTTCTTTGCCATAGTCAACGATTTGATCTTTGCTTACAACATTATTATGGTACTACTTTGGAGCATCGCATTAGTTGTTTGCTTCTACGGTTGGTGTGTGGTATACTCGTTATTCCTTGAATTAACCAACTTGACGAAATTAGAGGATTTAGCACATTTGCGGGTAAGCTAAATATATGCATTGAAACATCAAACACGAATATAATGATTTGTTTTATTACAGATGGGCACAATGGCTTCTTTGCATGCATCAGCTGCTAATTCTTTAGCCGGTTCACGTCCAACAACACCCCACAGCACCGTATCTACTATGCCTGTTGGATAAAATGCTAAAAGGACGTTGATAAACAACCATAAGTACTTTTAATATATTTTCGCAACTTCGAACTACGACCATATCAGTGCAAATGTATACCGTCCAAGCATTTTAGATTTACTTATACATGCGCATGCATATTAGGAGCATCGTATATGACGCGAAACTTAACATTCCGTATGTTTTGTATTTTAGTATTCTAAAAAACTATGCTAACTTGAAATATTTTTAATAACCTACTTATATATGGAACATAAATGGAATACAGTGCCTTAAGATTTGACATATCACTACAATTAATGCGTATCAATAGGAACTACTTTTTTTGTGTGTTCGACGAAAGTTAATTAGAGTGTAAGTTTGTATCGATTTAATATATGTACATATGTATGTATGTATGTATTTTCAAAAACTAATTTTCATTCCATTTATTATTGTTTACTTTTGTCAGCACAAATCTATCCGTCCAGTTTTTATTCTAGTATAAGCTCAATTGTTTTTAAGATCGTAATTTTAATGCTTGCAAACTTTAAAAAAAATTTTATATGGACATGTCAATTTTATATAGCATGATACAAATATTTAAAGGTAAAACCACTCGCTCAGTTCGTCCGCCATTTGGTTTTTTTTTACGTTTGCTAGCATTTTGATTAAACTCTCTCGAAATTATTCAAATGTGAAATAAATTCAAAATAAACAAATGAAATTTTATGATTTGAAAATTTTTTTATTCGAATGTGGGAAAAATTTAAAAATTTAAAGAAAAATGAGTTGCTGCTTTAAAGGCTGCGAAAATTCCGTTGTCCTCTGCGAGCAAAGCAATATCAAGTTTTTGTGGTTCCCGCAATTACCGTATGAAGGAAAAAATGGATCGAGGTTTGTGGTGTTATGAAAAGGGACTTGCCAAATTGCCCCTATGTGTTTTCATTGTCGGTCAGAACATTGTATCTGATCCAGTACTCCATGAACTTACAGGATTTTACACGACCTTGCAGGAAAAATGTTCCCGTACTCCAAAATCCTCCAAAATCCTGTAAATGAGAGCGACTTTTGGAGAGTTGTGTAGAGAATGAAGTTGCAAGATTTTACCCGAACTTTTTCTTCTGGTAAAATCATGAAAAGTGTCAAGCAATCACTGGTTGACGTTTTTACTGGAAAAATGGTTTTTTTGTTCCCGTACTTTTTGTTGTCACTCACTTTTTACTCTCACTTCAGAGAGTAATTTTGCTGTTTAACAGTTTTATAGGATTTTTCACGAAAAGTATTGGATCAGAGCTTATATAAGGTGGTGTTACTAGCTCAGCTGATTTTGTGTATGTGTTTCGCCGCACGGCTTCTNAAGTTAATTAGAGTGTAAGTTTGTATCGATTTAATATATGTACATATGTATGTATGTATGTATTTTCAAAAACTAATTTTCATTCCATTTATTATTGTTTACTTTTGTCAGCACAAATCTATCCGTCCAGTTTTTATTCTAGTATAAGCTCAATTGTTTTTAAGATCGTAATTTTAATGCTTGCAAACTTTAAAAAAAATTTTATATGGACATGTCAATTTTATATAGCATGATACAAATATTTAAAGGTAAAACCACTCGCTCAGTTCGTCCGCCATTTGGTTTTTTTTTACGTTTGCTAGCATTTTGATTAAACTCTCTCGAAATTATTCAAATGTGAAATAAATTCAAAATAAACAAATGAAATTTTATGATTTGAAAATTTTTTTATTCGAATGTGGGAAAAATTTAAAAATTTAAAGAAAAATGAGTTGCTGCTTTAAAGGCTGCGAAAATTCCGTTGTCCTCTGCGAGCAAAGCAATATCAAGTTTTTGTGGTTCCCGCAATTACCGTATGAAGGAAAAAATGGATCGAGGTTTGTGGTGTTATGAAAAGGGACTTGCCAAATTGCCCCTATGTGTTTTCATTGTCGGTCAGAACATTGTATCTGATCCAGTACTCCATGAACTTACAGGATTTTACACGACCTTGCAGGAAAAATGTTCCCGTACTCCAAAATCCTCCAAAATCCTGTAAATGAGAGCGACTTTTGGAGAGTTGTGTAGAGAATGAAGTTGCAAGATTTTACCCGAACTTTTTCTTCTGGTAAAATCATGAAGTGTCAAGCAATCACTGGTTGACGTTTTTACTGGAAAAATGGTTTTTTTGTTCCCGTACTTTTTGTTGTCACTCACTTTTTACTCTCACTTCAGAGAGTAATTTTGCTGTTTAACAGTTTTATAGGATTTTTCACGAAAAGTATTGGATCAGAGCTTATATAAGGTGGTGTTACTAGCTCAGCTGATTTTGTGTATGTGTTTCGCCGCGCGGCTTCCCTGCAAACCATTTTTTCAGAGTATTCTGAATCGTAAAGAAATTTTAACGAAGTCCTTGTTCGAGTTGCAATCACAACCGCAGTGTTGCGCGAATTATTAAAGTATCACGTTCTTCGTGAATTTCTAGCAATGTATTACTCGTTGCAACAATGTTGCCATTTTTCATCAGTACGGCAGTAATGCCGCTTTTATTACGTGCCTCGAACAGGCCCGAATTCGGAAAGATCCCATCCTTTTTTTTTCCGAATTTTCTAAAATGAAATAAATTACGCACACTTCCTTTCTTTTACGAAATTTCGGAAGAAAATCGGTAAAGAAATGAAAATAATGCTGCTATGTGAAGAATTTCTTGCAGACTTTTTTCAGAATTTTCTTTAGTTTTCGTACAGAAATTTCTTTACGAGTTCGTGTCAACCACTTCATATAATTTTCTTTGAAGATTCGGAAAAAAATCGTTACAGAAATCAGATACTCCTAAAGATTTCGTTAAGATTTCGGGAACTTTGGTTTGCAGGGTTCTGATATCAAATTGAAAAATCCCTGCAAACCAAAGTTCCCGAAATCTTTAGGAAATCGTTAGGAGTATCTCATTTCTGTAACGATTTTTTTACGAATTTTCAAAGAAAATTATATGAAGTGGTTGACACGAACTCGTAAAGAAATTNCACAGATTTTCTTCCGAAATTTCGTAAAAGAATGGAAGTGTGCGTAATTTATTTCATTTTAGAAAATTCGGCAAAAAATCGAATTAAATCTTAACGAATTCTTTAAAATTTCTTTACAATGCAGAATACTCTGAAAAAATGGTTTGCAGGGATTTTGTTTGAATTTCTACACACACTCTTACATATTTTGACAGTTTATGGCGCCAAAGTGAAAACAAAATACATGTAAATTTTTGTTTTTGTACTCCTGCTATCACCTTATTCGCCTTGGGTCTAACCGTATTTTAATATCGTCTACAGTGGCGAGTAATACTGACTTTATCATCAAAAATATTTTGCGAACTGTCGCTTTGCATAAAATAAAACGAATAAATAAAAATAATGTGAACGGTGATTATAATTTTTATTAGTTATATTGAAATTTTACACTAAACTATATTCAAAAGTAAACAAATTGTACGAATTGCGGTGGACCATAACAGATTTTTACGGAAATATGCATTTTTCAATAAAAAAATAAACGAAATGAATTCTTACATTAAACGTTAACGTTAATGACTAAAGATGAAAGACCAGAGGCTCAATTTTTATTCTCACTTTATAAGGTTCAAGAACATATTAATGCAAGTAAAGAAGTCATTTACATCTAAACCAAAGTAATTAGCAGTGTCCGGTAGGTGGAACTATCGTGCAGACAAGTATACAAAGAACTTAGAATTTAATGATATTGTCCAAAAGCTAATTCAGTTTACATGAACTAATAATCTACTCCGACTTAGAAGTAATCGACTTTAATATTTGCCAGTAATAAGTTTTGTAGATCACCTTAGTGCAGTTATCTTAAATTTACAACTCAAAACTGCTTTCATTCTAATCCTGTTTTTCCCTAAAATAAACAATAACTATTTTTTTTTTTTACTTTAATACAACGCATATTCAATGTCATTTTGCCATGATTATTTCATTATTTTCGCTCGTATTCACTTTGGCCAAGTCATCGACCAATGTGTCGAGCAGCGCCCGCAGCTCTTGTTGCGCGAATTCTTGTGGCAATGGCAGACGTTCCAGTGCAATTTTTATGATCAAACACGGATTCAACACTGGACAGACGAGCAATACACCGCGCACTAGGCAAGCCAAATTTTGCGCGATTTCACTTTGACACAGGCGATGTTTAGCCGTGGGGCAGGGCAACAAATTAATGCGGGAACATAAGTCAGCCAATTGTGGCTTCAAATTCTCCCAGCGTGCTTCTATATCCGCCTCGGTCTTGAGTGTCTTTAAGCTCTTGAACTAGAGGTGCAAAAAAAGAGTAAATAGAATTACTAGTAGGTACAACTTTTGCATATTTAGGCCCCTATTATGAGTTGCATTCGATTTTCGACTGTGGTCGAAAGTGCTGAGCGAACGAATTTTCATTTGGTATTATGGCGCTCATTCGATGAAGAATAGCGCTATTGTGAATTTCGCTCGTTTAGGTTGTTCACAATAGTATATTTTTCACCGCTGAGAAGCTTTGTTTACAAATCGAGCAAACTAAATATTGTGCTCATACATATTTATGTAAATTTGTTCTAATTAAAATGAAGTAAAAAAGAAAGCAAGTTTATAAAAACGTGGTAAAATGAGTACAACGAGTTCTGGTTCAACGATTCGTCAGAGGATGAGAGCTAAGTAAACTGGCCAGGAGTAGCAAATGTTTAAGAGAGTTTAAGTTTATTAGTCTTTCGAATATATTTTGATATAAAATATATTTAAGAAATTTGTCTACAGATTCATTAAAAAGTTCCGACCATCTAAAGAAGCGTTTGTGAGCCAAATCTATTTAAAATATTTTAAAACTATCAACAGCGCTACGATTTTGTTCTCAGAGATCGCGCCAACAGAGTATTGGGATTTTCTTTCACAAGTAAAACCAGCCTTTCGAGCTTGTGTTTAGTATTCACGATGTTAGAACTGCATGAAATTAATAAAAATTGTTTAAAATTAGTGTCTAGCCGCCAAAATGTAAGAAAACATATACAAAATCATACATTTTTAACAATTTTCTAACACTTCGCTACACCATCGAAAGTAAAATTCTGTTCGACAGAAAATTCGATACTCAACGAAAATTTCGACACGCTTGCATAGCTCATAATACGAATTTCACTTTCGATCTTCGATCTTCGATAGCCAGCGAAGATCGAAAATCGAATGCAGCTCATAATAAGGGCCTTAAACATATTTTGTATATTTGAGTGTTCTGAATTACTTTTTCGTTGATATCGATAAAGTCTAAGAATATTTGTCCTTGATTAGACCAATTCGGTACTTTTATGGTTTTGTTGGCCTCGGCACCCTCGAACTGACTCAGCAATTTGTGCAAATAGTCGAGATTATCTGCGTGAAGAAGAGAATAGGTTCAATAGATTTTCTGTGGCCTGTTGTGGCGGTATTTACGCTCGCACTTACCATTAATGATTGCATCGGGTGCAATGTGCTGGAATATAACTTCATGTGCCAATGCCCACTGCTTTGCCTTTAACAGGTATTTCGCTTGCAAATGATGATTGCCAATGGCGCCCGCCTTCACTGCCTTCGCATAATCAATCCATTTCTCCGGTACTCCCAAATTATTTATTACAAACTTTTCCTTATCCGACAATGAAACATCTTTTGAAACACTAACATAACGATAGAGCATATTTTGCACTGACAACTCTCTTTGATTACGGTCTTTTATATGCAAAAGAACGAATGTAGCCCATTCCCATAGATCGTAATTTTCTAACTGACTTGCAAAGCCTACATGCAATTGGCTTTCACTTAAAATTGAGCAGTGTCGGTATCCAATTGCCTCCAATGTTTGAAGCAGAAGCCAACTAGAATCCAAATTAAATAGGTTACGAATTTGTATAAAATATTTTCAAAAAGAAGTTGGTAGCCTGTTGCACCTCAAGCGATAATCCATCGGATCAGCTGTATGAGTTGCTGGATTGAGCAAACTCTCCAGCGGATGACTACGTTTGGAGAACAACTGCAGCAAATGGTAGCGCAAGTCGTAGAGCGCATACTTTTCATTCAGACACGTCTTATCCATATAGCAGGGTGTTGGTGGCAAAGAGTAGAATTCTTCCGATTTAAAAGATTTTTCATAGGCTAATAGCGCATCGGTAATAGATGCAGTGGGCGACGAAAGGTACCATAGTTGAAGCTGCAAAACGTAGAAACAGAATTACAAACATTTGGTGCTTCAGAAAAAGTATCCGACATGCACTTACTGCTAGCACTTTTGTCCATTCAATGCCATCTAAGGTATTGATGGGACCGTGCCCCGAGTCCATAAGCGCAACTCCGGCGACCAGCATATATAGCTTTAAGCGCTCCAATTGTATAAATTTGTCAGCTTCATCCTTATGCCAAGCAGCCAACTGGTCTTCTAAAAGTTGACGCACGGTGGGCCCCGAAGAAAGTTGTGACAGCAACAGTGCCAGATTCGCGTCGTCATATCGAAAGGCCAACTCGCAAGCTTCCGTCACCTTGTGGCACATCACAAGTTCTAACAAATGATCCAGATAGGTGTGCTTGGAGACATTCTTCGTTAACAAGTCCTTATCGGTCAAGGTATTCTCCATCCACTCAGAAAGTAAATTTCGGCGGCACATTATTGTGAAGTGTGACGTTGGCTCACGTCCCTCAAGCTCTTCATGATCGCCCCACAAAGCCAAGCAAAGCGACCACACTGAGACCGCATATTCCTCCAATGGGCCAAGATTAATTTGCTTGATGGCTTCATCCAGATGCTTCACAATCAAATCGGTGCCGTTGTCGGACTTTATCCAAGGACATTCACTACCTTCAACGTCTTCTTGCAATGAATTACGCAATTGCAGTTCCAAGTGAGTTACAATACTCTCCTTGAAGTGT